TTTTTCTTATTTTCTCACATTCCCATACTCTTTCACGCTTGATGCAGTCCCTGGTCTGGGATATTGTTTTCTCATGAAATCTACCTCTGGCCTACACATGGAGAGGGCCAAAACTGCCCATCTCCTAACAAAAAGATATAACGATATAAGTTACCTGCTAATCAATCTAGATGCTAACTGTCCCCGTGACATTCCCAGGTGGACGCTAATCCCAAAACAGACTAGCGTTGCTGGAAACGGTAATACACGGAACTTGGAATCTCCGGCTGCGATACTTCAAGGGCGAAGAACGAGGGATGTTTTCAGGTCGAGCCTTCCCTATGGCTTCCAGGCCCCAAGTCTCTCCTTCAAGGGCCAGCTGGCTTACCAGCGGCCCTCCCTGGCCATATCTACTGCCCAGACTCACTCCCAGGCCTCGCCGTGGATACACGCTAAGCCCCTTTCGCTAATGGCGCACTTGGTCCCTGCTGCCGGCCGAACAGATTGTCTGCCTAAGGCCCGTAGCCTCCTCCTTCGTCTCTCTCCAGTTCACGGAAATCGCCCATCCTCTTTTTCCTCTCCTTTTCCCTATTCCTTGCCGTCGCGCTTTGCCTCCTTTCCTACATTAATTCCTTTCATTCTTTTCTCTATCCTCTCCTCCCTCATCTACTACTCTCGTACTCTCATCTTCTCCCCCTCCACGCGATCTCGCTCACCCTTTTCACTCTATTCGACGCCTCCACTTCCAAGATCCCACCAGATCCTTACACAGTCGCAGGGGCTCGACGTGTCTTTCCCGAATCGCCTCGATCTCCTTCGAAGAAGCCTACCTTTCGCCAATCTATTTTTCTCTCCCGTTCCTCCTACCCTTGAGGTCACCATCCAGGCGCATTCGAGCAGGGTCTTTCACGCTTCCACCAGCAGCCAACATCAACCCAGGGCGTTCATAATCACACATCTGGGCTCTGTGGTATCATTTGGTTAGCTGGAAGGGAAATATTGTCGCCTGCGCACGTCGCTTCGTGGACTTCCTCTCGTGGTCGTGTCATCCAGCCATTCATCTACGCGTTCGCTGTCCAACAAGGGCTTGGGAAGATACATGTCCAGGGGAAGACGTGTCAGATACGCTAGATAATGACAGGTCGTTTACGCCCCTGTTAACTAATACGTGATATTGTCTTCACCTGAGAGGGGGTCATCTGTCGGACTATGACAGATACCTCCTCCCTCGCTATCACGCACGCCACAACGGATTCCTATCCGGTCCCCGCTCCTCCGGGCTCCCCTGCCGCCGACGGTGCAGTCTCTGACTCTGCCGCACCCGATGAAGAAGAACCTTACACCATCAAATGCATTTGCTCGTTCGAGGAAGATGATGGTAGCACGGTATTCTGCGAAGGGTGCGAGACATGGCAGCACATTATCTGTTACTATCCCGATAAGAAGGTACCAGATGTGCACAACTGTGTCGACTGCGAGCCACGGCCATTGGACAATCGTCGTGCCACCGAACGACAACGGCTGCGGCGGCAACGGGAAAAAAGCGAGGATGGGGACCGGAAGCCCAGGCGGCCTGGGCCTAAAACTCAACGGAGGAGACCAAAGGATACTGAAGTGAATGGGTTTGGACATCAACGATCCGAGTCGAGTGCACGTGAACAGCCACCGGCGAAGAAAGCGAAGACGTCCCACCGTCCATCAACATCAATTGGTGGTCTTTCTGGGATCCCGGCTCTTCCGGCTGAGTCACGCAAGCGTCGTTCCTCTACCTCCGTTGCGATGAGCCCAACGAAATCCTCCGAACTTCCTATCCCTCTCTACTCCAACGAATTCCTCAATCTTTACGACCGAGATGAAGATTACGATGAAATTGACAGCAACCTCTTTGTCAACGTGAGCCTAATGCGGGACACTGTCTCATGGTTGAAGGACCCCGAGGCTTTGGCGCGAGTCACCAACGGACGGCCTGCTGAAGACACTTTTCAGTGGTCTGATGCAGCCTTGGATCGGTCTCGCTGGCCCTCGTTGGCAGTTGATACAATCACAGACCCGAGCACTGAGATCAGTGGCAAGCATCCAACATACAAGATCATTAAGACTCAAGATTCTGTACGACGGGATCAAGTTGTCGGAGAGATCACTGGCAAGGTTGGCTATTTCAGAGATTATTGTCTCGACCCAAGCAACCGGTGGTCCAAATTACGGCATCCTGAACCTTTTGTCTTCTTCAGTGCACATCTCCCTCTCTACATTGACGGCCGTCGTGAAGGCAACAAACTCCGTTACATCCGGCGTTCCTGTCGTCCCAATGTTAGCTTGAAGATCTACATCACCAATGATGTAGAGTATCATTTCTGTTTTGTTGCCAAGGATGATATTCCTGCCAACTCAGAAATTACTGCTATGTGGTACTTGGACCCTGAATTCCATGAAGCTACCAATGGTGTAGTGAAGCAGGAGGCGGGGGATCCGGAGGCTGCTTCGGTCTGCATCAGCAATACGCTTGCCAACTTTGGTACATGTGCGTGTGATCTTCCTCTCGATGAGTGCACAATGGCCAAACTTGATCGCCGGCGACGCCCAAAGCTGGACTCGGTGAAGCCCAATGGCAAGCGAAGGAAGGTGAAGAGCAAGGCAGTAGCATCTCCAATGGAGACAGGTCGTGCTTCTACGAGTCGCGCAGGTAGCGAGACAACTAAACAAGACGAAGATGACCCCGCAGCCGATAGTCGATCAACTTCAGGCTCAACACGTGGTCATCCCCGTAGCCGCGATCTCAGTCCTGCTCAACCTTTACCAGAACTCTCTACTCGCGAAAGACGGAAAATTGCAGATGCCGAAAAGCAGTTCCAACAACTAGAGGATCGGCACGTGCATCCGAAGAAGAAAAAGCGTTCCAGTGGACCTTCTCATTCTACTCAAACTGGCCATTTCGGGACTCAGCGCGCGTCTGGCAAATCTCACCTCGATACACAGTCGCGTTCTCCTACTGCTGTTTCACCTGGCATAATGGCTCGCCGCAATTCCAATCCTCCTGGGCAGTCTCATCGTCGCCGTCGTCCTGTCTATGTCGACGCGGCGGTTCAGGTCAACCGCGATAACGATTCCCCGCCTCCTCGCCCGGCGCGTCCCATTCGCCCATTCATCTCTATGACTCGGCGGCTTCTGTTGCGATACGATGCGGAGAATATCAGACGAGCAGAACTCACTAGACAACATTTGTCTTCAGCTGGCTCTGACAGCGTTGCGACTTTCGGGACTTTCGAGTCTCCTGGACCCTCGCTTCTTCGTTCGCCTGTCACCGTGCATGATAGATCGGATGCTGCGCTGGCTAGTCTGAGTAGTCCTTCCACTCCTGCGCAAGGGGATCTTGAGATGCGGGATGGCTCGAGTGCTCGGACCGACTCTCTCGGGCCTAGCAACGATCCACGCAAGCCGCCAATTCCCCCTCCTTGGCCGTCCACCGTCGCTCACAACGTTTTGATTCCGGGTGCTCGTCGCCGCAGCGACCTACGTGTTTCCATGCCCCCACCGCACGCTGTCAACGCACCTTCCGCAATTAGTCCCGGCTCTTCTACTAGTCTTGCATTCCCTCTTCCTCATGAAATCTCATCTCCTCACGCTTTTATGCCTTCGGGCCATGCACCCACTCCCACTCCTGCAAAGAAAAAGCTCAGTCTCGGTGACTACTTGATCCGACGGGGAACCATGACAACATCGGACAAGCCTGCCCCTGCAAAGAAGTCCCCCTCCGCCGGACATGGCAGTGCAGACCGTCCTCACACCCCCACACAACCGGAACTGCACGACAAGCCTGAGCCCGCTTCTTCACCAAACATGCCGATGAAAGACGCCCCCGAATCAACACCCACCCACATCCCGTCCATCTCTTCGTGATCTGATCCGCGTGGCAGTAATGGTGGGCCTGTGATAAAAGGAAAAAAATCCCTAAGGATTTTTTAACGTTTCTTACGACCCAAAATTTCTTTTCTCGTGTGACTTCATTATTTCGACACTACAGCAACAAGGCAAGGGAGCACACAGGCGTTTCATCGGGCCCCCGTGCTTTCTTACTGTTCTCCTTTCCGTGCCGGCTTTCTCTTTCATGTTCTTCTTCTTTGCTTGTTTTACTCTATTAACGGATATCTTGATATCTATGTCTGTGTCTGTGTCTGTGTTTACGGTCTTGGCTATGGCTATGGCTGTCAGCCCAAGCTTTTTCTCGTTCCGGATGGCGTATGGCGTGGTTTAGGGGGGGACTAGGTTTGGTCCTCCTTTTTCTGGTTATGGGAAATACCATCGGGCTGGGTTAGGATCTTTGTGATGGTGTACGTGTATCAATGGTGTTCTCTTTTTTTTTTTATGGTCATGTATGTCTGTCTGCCTGTGGCGCAGGACATAGATCTTTCGCGAATTTTTGTGAGACTACATTTTGTGAGATTACATCTTCTCTCTTTCGATTCAGTTGCATCTTTTGATGTGGCTTGATAGCTTGTATGAACACTGCTTGATCATATGTACAATTTTTTTCTCTCTTGCTCCTTTCGTAATGTGTAGATTGTTCTTTTGGTGTTTACTTTGACTTTACCTACAGGCTTGGTTGCTTCATTGTTTGTTGATGTGATGTTGTCTTGCTCCCACGCAGTGACTACTACAAATCCAGCTGTACGCTCTGCTTGCTCGTTCTACAATCCCCATGCATTCACTATCTTGTTTGCTCTAGTTCCCTTTGTCACAACTAGATATTTGTCGGGATATTCCCCTCCTACGCTTGGTATATAAAGATCCAAACCCCACAACATCTTTCTCCTCTTCCACCACCTACCCGCAAAATATAAAGAAACCAATAAATATTCTCACACATAATGGATACGTCCTCTGAGACTCTGGATTAGTTCCCTGAATCCTTCCGCTGGGCTGACGATCCGAATACCCGGTATTCGAATCACATACCACCTTGCAGCCACTGTTGTTGTCCTCGGTTTCTTTCCTTGCCTTTCCTAGTGTTTCTATATCGGTATATGGGCATCGCCAAGCGTCTATATGAGATCTACGGCCCCGTTGCTCCTACTGGCTCCGTGCCGAGGACGAAGACATCCCCTTGCTCCATGACATTTTCGGGCAAGGCATCTCCAGCAACCGCATCATTGCTGCGTACGGCCAATACCTTGGTGTCAGCCCTCTCGATCACCAAGCGTCCTGCCTACGATGTCTTAACAACGACCTCTGCGCCTTCGGCTCCTGCCGCGTGTCAGGTTTCGTGGACGGCGACAAGCGCTACATTCTAGCTAAAGGAAGCTGCATGTGCTGTCTCTTCTCCGGCTTTGCCGCGAAGTGCTCGCTCCGTGCTAAACAACCCGCATGGGCTGTCGAGTTCCTGCTCACCCTCGAGCGGACTTCTCTTTCGAAGCTCTCGATGACGAGGAAGCTGGCGGTGTAGCGCCTGCTACCCCGAGTGTTGCCCTAGTCTATAGGACAATCTAGTTTGCTGCCCCCTTAACGGTCGAGAGGCCTTCGTCGACATGATATACGAGATTATTGATCCAAGGATCAGAGCATTGAAAGGTCGAACTTCACACCAGTTTGTATATAGTAACCCTCTCCCGACTATCGCGCCTGGAATAATCTTGTATATACTAGGTTATATTCAATTCGTGAGAAGCAGACCTCAAATCAAATAACGTGGAACGCCCCTTATAGTGGCTACTTAGATTTTGCCTTTTATTGTCATCAACCTGTATACTTACGTCCTTACATTGGTCAGTCCAATCAACCAAAGTATCGGATACCGCAGCACACACTAATGATGAAGGGGCCGATGGCAAGTCTTCATTACTAACTACATTATCAAGAATGACAAGTGGTTTAGAAGTGCTAATTTCATTCGACTTTAGACTATTTCTTTCCCTCCGCGAACTGATATCTTCGCGACCTTCTTAGAGATGATATTATGCCGAGCTTTTCAGCCTCTCCCTCCTCCATAGGAGTCCTCCGCCCATCAGAAATTGTCTCTTGGATTCGCTGAACCGGGTATCGAGGAATTGGATACCTCCATTATTCCATCTTGATCCTATTTGAGGGTAGAATTATGTCAAAGAATTCTAAGCGAATATTGACCATGTAGATGTATATATATTCTTAGTGATTCTCTGGTTATAGAACCTTTCGGTGGTGGATACGCTTTTGGGGGGATTAAGAATGGGGACATTAGCCAATAAAAGGCCTGTATTTCCATAACCGGAGCGGTAGTTCAGTGGTTTAGAACGTTCGATTGCAAATCGAAAGGTCGGGAGTTCGAGTCTCCCCCGCACCTTGTTTTTTTGTAGTTTTCTTTTTAATCCTTCCTACTATTATAGTTTTTATTCATGCTATATAATACAGGTCCACATGTTCTATAATTGCTGTTTCATAATAGAGTGATCAGCTTGGTTATATTTAAGGAGAGACATGAGCTTTGGAGTGATTAGGGAGATCGAGCAAGAAAAATCAAGCCTTCCAAGTTTCTGCAGATCGACGGCACGAAGTCCGATATCTGACATGGAGTGAAGTATACAGTGAGTCAGGGTCGAGAGGGGCAATCCCGCGACTCTGAGGGATCCAACCGCCTTCACATTCTTTTTCCTTTCAGAAATCTGTTCCAACATACTAGAAGTTCAACATGAATTCCGACGAAGGCCTTATGCTGGACGAGTTCCATATTTGCAGATCTACAGATGAGGTCACCGAGATAGAGCAGCCCGCTCTTGCCCCGGCAGATGGAGGCAGGGCTGCATGGCTCATGCTGGCTTCATGTTGCTTGATTCAGTTGCCAGTCTGGGGTCTGTAATGAGACACGAGAGACATTTCACTCTATTAACCTCCACTTTAGGATTTTCCACTGTGTTTGGTATCTTCCAAGAGTACTATACAACGCATGATGTCCTACAAGGAAGCAAGGGTGACCTGGCGACCGTTGGGACTTCTTCTACTGTATGCGAAAAGAACTGACATACATGACATTTTCTAATACTTTCTTTCCCCCAGGGCATTCTTTATCTTCTTTCGCCTGTCACCTTTACGCTTCTGACGAGGTATTCCCGCCTACAATACTACAGTGCACCTGCAGGTCTGGTCATTACAGTGATAGGATCTTTGCTGTCCTCGTTCTCTGTGAAAGTATGGCATCTTATTGCCACTCAGGGCGTCATGTGTGCTATTGGGAATGCACTCTTGTTTACTCCGTCGTCCTTGTACCTTGACCAGTGGTTCTTGCGCCGAAAGGGCCTTGCACTTGGGACTATGTGGGCTGCCAAGAGTATCACTGGCGTTGCTTTGCCTTTTATTGCCAGCGCTTGTCTGAGCAGGTTTGGTTCGAATGTCACGCTGAAAGCCTGGACGGTTGTCACGGTATAGACTCTGTCCTTTGGGGAGTTGATCTACGTGATTTGAAGGCTTTGATAACGCTGACCCTTGAACTCTTAGTTGATTACCACCCTCATGGCTTTACCTTTTATGAGACCTCGAATCCCTATCTCGGCATCTGCTTCAGCCCGTCGCTTGGATTTGAGCTTCCTCAAACAAGCCACCTTCTGGATGTTGCAAGCTGGAAATATTATCCAAAGCTTTGGTTACTTCCTGCCAACAACATACCTTCCTTCTTACTCGACAGGAACGATCGGGCTATCCCAGACAACTGGTACGCTGTTGCTCTCGCTCGTCAATGCAACATCCATCTTCGGTGGGATAGCCCTCGGGATTCTATGTGACCGCTTCTCTGTGACCAACGTCATGTTTTTATCCTCAGTTGGCTCGGCATTATCTGTACTTCTCTTTTGGGGCATGGCGTCGTCGGGCTCAGAATCGCCACAGACAGCTATTGCCCTTCTTACCGTATTCTCCATCACTTACGGGTTCTTCGCTGGTGGATTTAGCTCTACCTGGTCGGGGGTTATCACTCAAATTAAACGTGATACATCGCCATCACTTGAGACCGGTCTAGTGTTTGGTCTTCTGGCTGGTGGGCGAGGCATTGGGAATGTGATCAGTGGGCCACTGAGTACAGTATTGATTCGCTCCGGATCTTTGGGCGACTCCAGTGGCTCAACTGGTTATGATTCCCAGTACGGAACTCTGATCCTATTTACGGGGATAACGGCCATTTTGGGAGCATGGAGCTGGATGTGGCGGTATATCAGTCCTGCACTGCGGTGTCTTGCTTGAAATGAGATAGCAGTGTTGGATAGGGATCACAGTGGGCCCGAATTGAAATTGAATGAGTAAATGCAGTATTGAGGATGAATAACTTAGCAATTTGAAGACAATGAAACAACGAGCGCCCAGGATATTGATGCCAAGTCGTGGTCACGTGCAGGCAGATCTGCGGAGCTTCGACTCCAAGCATTCTTCCACCTCTCCAACTCTGACATCCTCGGAACACTTCGATCTCGTCGCTGCGCACCAGGGCCACTGCCCTATCTATCACAATGGCTACGTCCGACGCGGCAACCCAAGACCCTCTCCTTTCGCTCCGCCGCGCAATTGCGGCCGGCAGCCTCCCAACACCAACGACCTCGCCCGAGCTTTCTGATGAATCGGCCACGGAGGACCTGGCCAAAGCCTCCTATCTCTATTTCACACAACCGACCCCTCAGACAATTCCATTGGCGACCCCAACACGATTCATTTCCGCGAATTCTGGCTCCCCAGTTGACCTGCGCAGCATCCTTTTCGCATGGCAGAACAAAGATGTCGCTATTCCCGAGTACTTCGCTTCGGCGAATCAGTTCAATGAGACACTGAAGCAGAAGGGGCCGCAGGAAGATGGCAAGGAAGAAAGTGTACAGATTCTTGTCTTCGTCGAACGTCTTGATCTCATCACTTGGCTGGAAGGCGCTTCCGATGAAAGTGAACACATCAAGCCCCTCGAGGGTGCCGCAGCCGCTGCAGAGGCTGCCGCCACAGCTGCAGGTGTTGCGCAGGCCGAGGCCGCGGCCGGCATCGCCGCAGGTACGGCTGGCGGTGTCTCGACCGCGCCTAGTGGTGCCGCAGGAGCAGCACAGCCAGCTCAAGCCGGCCGCCCACAGAAGCAGATTGAGCCTCGGCTGCAAGAAATCTACAATGGGGAGCGCAAGACAGGTGATCGGAACACAGTGCTACGCGGAATCAAGCCAACAGTGAGTTGCGTGATGTGACCAGACTTGCCCAAAGCTAACTCTCCAAATAGGACTTCTCGCACGTTCGTAAGAGCGCCGAAGTGTTCCTCAGCCGCAACCGCCCTGGCCACCCAGCCAAACCCGGCAGCAAGCCCCAAGTTCCCGCGCCTTCTGCCGGACTGCCGGTTTCGTCGTCGCGCAAGTCCAGCTCATCACACTCGCGCCCAGACCCTATCATCCTGATTTCGCCCTCTGCCTCCTCCCTCATCCGCATGTCGAACGTCAAGTCCTTCCTGGAAGACGGTGTCTTCGTGCCACCCGACCACCCAACCCTATCCAGCGCAACCAACGCAAACCTCGTGAAGCTGGAGCGCCCTCTCCGTGGAGACCCCTCCAATCCAAACGCCGGCGCAATCGGCTCCCGAGGCGGCGCCAAGCCTACCAGACCGACAAAGTTCATCATCGTCGACGGCACCACCAACTTCAAGCCCGAGTACTGGGACCGCCTTGTGGCCGTCTTCACTACCGGCCAGACCTGGCAGTTCAAGTCTTACAAGTGGTCTTCCCCACCCGAGCTGTTCAAGCACGCCACCGGTGTTTACGTCGGATGGCGAGGCGAGGATGTCCCTAGCCAAGTCAAGGGCTGGGGCCGTGGTGTGCAGAACTTTGCTGTTGAACGCTGGGACGAGAAGAATGGTACGCAGGGTGGTGGTCGCTGGCGTGATCGTGAGATCGTCGAGGGTATCTGGACTGCTATTGAGGAGGGCATGAGACTTCGTGGTTGGTCCAAATAGACCTGCTACAGTACTTAATACCTTCTCTGTGCTTTTCCGTTTCTCTTTCCCTTTGCTTCTTTGTCCCCTCTCCTGGCATCATGTTCTATCCTCATATACCCCCTTCAACCAAACCTTGGATCAACAGCCTATCCAACCGACCAATATGGCATTTTTCCTCCCTCCTCCCGCTACCACTTCCATCCCACACTACAACCTCTTCTCAAAATTGAACATTGATGACCAACGACATTCAAGGCGTGGTTCTGGGCGTTGTGTCTGGTGATTAATCTTTTCTTCCTCGAGCCGTATGTATCTATGACGGTCTCTTCGCTTTGCTGCGAGACCTAGAACAAAATCCAATTAAGGTTTACTGTAGCTTGATTTT